TAGATTTTTCTGACAAAACATTTTCCTGACCTTAAAATGTTGAATTGTGTGGTAGGAAAAAGATGGTTAAGATCTCTGGAATACTGAATTAACAAATGATTTAAAAAGCCACAGACTTCTGGATGGTATTGAATTCTATTTTTAATCTGCAGTTTTCGCCTTAAAGGAGCCCTGGTGGTGTAGTAGTTAAAGTGCTCGGCTGCTAACTGAAATATTGGCAGTTCAAACCCACCAGTGGCTCTGCAGGAGAAAGATGTGGAAATCTGCTTCCTTAAAGATTATAGCGTAGGAAACCCTATGGGGCAGTTTTACTCTGTCCTTTAGGGTTGCTAGGAGTCGGAATTAACTCGATGGCCGTGAGTTTAGTGGGTTTTTTGCTTAGAAGGTGACCCCCTGTAGTGATGCAGTGAGGTCAGTGGCCATGGGGGTTTCATGAGCTCAGCTGCCCCTTTGGAGGCAGGGGTCTTGTTGAGAGTTAAGGACTTGCCAATTTAATGGGCACCATGGAATCAACAAGTCTACTTTGCTGCCTTTTCTCTTCCGTATCTTGCTTGTTTTCTGTTGAGCCAGTGCTTCTCAGCCTGTCCCTGGCACACAGATGATGCCCTGATAATATTGTAGGGGACCTGAGGGCAAACGGAAGTGGCCTGCTGTGACCAGAGGCAGCCGGCCAGGGACTCGGAGGGATCAAGCTCTCTGACTCCTGTTTTCCAGACTCATGCTGGTTGGATTGGGAAGTTCTGCTTTACAACTACTATTCTGACCTTCATGGAATCATATTTCTTGACTGTGTTACATGTAGCCAGTAGCCACTGTATAATGGGATTGCTTAATTAATTTTTTAAAAAAGAGGTCTGATAATGTGGCATAAAAAACAAGTAGAAAAAAAGAGCATGATGCTCAATTTTACAAAGTTCAAAAACAAGCAAAACTACATATGTTGTCTGGGGTACGTACATGTGTGGTAAAATAAAGAAAGCAAGACGGTTACAAACAAAATTCCTGGTTAGTAGTTACCTAGAGGGGAGAGGGCCAAGCAGGGAGATCAGATTGGGGAATGACACAGAGGACTTAAACAGCATTAGTGAAGTTCAAGTTCTGAAATTAGATACAGGATATATAGAGTTTTATATTCTTTATAGATTACATATATTTTTTCTGTTTTTATTTTTTTATTATTGTACTTTAGATGAAGGTTTACAGAACAAACTAGCTTCCCTGTAAACAATTAGTACCCATGTTGTTTTGTAACCTTGGTTACCAACCCCACGACATGTCAACACTCTCCCCTTCTCGACCTTGGGTTCCCTATTACCAGCTTTCCTGTCCCCTCCTGTCTTCTAGTCCTTGCGCCTGGGCTGGTGTGCCCCTTTAGTCTGCGTATATATACGTAGCTGTTTTATCTTTTTTTTTACATGGTGGACTGATTGTCTCTGTAGCCATTAATTTTCATGGCTGAATAATATTCCAGTGAGCAGTTGGTATCATAGTGCACTAACCATTCCTCCATGGATAGATATTTAAGTTCTGCTGTTGCAGAACGTCTTCCAGGTGCTTGTATTCCCCACCGCAGATAATTTGTCTATGTGAAAGGTGTTCCTACGTGCTAGAAACACAGTGATGAGCAAAAAGAGCCACACCCTTGCCCTTGAGGAATTTAGAATCTAGTGACCAACAGTTCCTGGTTGTTTTTTACATTTTAACCACATTGATTCTTGGACGTTTTATTTATTTATCTTTTTATTTTGAGAGAATTATAGCTTTACTTGCAGTTGTAAGAAATAATGCAGAGAGATTCCATATACCCTTCACCCAGTTTCCCCGACTGGTAACACCTTGCATAACTATAATGTATATCACAACCAGGAAGTTGACGTTGATCTAACTCAAGCCAAGCCCATTGCCGTCGAGTCGATTCTGACTCAGCGATCCTATAGGACACAGTAGAAGTGCCTCATAGGGTTTCCAAGGATTCAAACTGCCGACCTTTTGTTTAGCAGCCGTAGCTCACTGTAGCTCTTAACCACTGCACCACCAGGGCCCCTTGATCTAACCCATCAACCTTATTTAGATTTCACTTACATGCTGTCATTTGTCTTGTGTATGTTTGTGTGTTACTATACAACTTTATCCCATGTGTAGATTGGTCTGACCACCACCACAGTCAAGACATGGAATAGTTCTTCAGGGCTTCAGACCAGTTCGTTGCAGTTTGAACCCCTACTAAGAATTTTGATTTCCACCCCAGATATACTGAATCAGAGTCTACAGTTTAACAAGATCCCCAGGTGATTCTTATGTGTAATGCATTTTGAGAGCCACTGCTCTACTCTGATTCTCAGAATTGGTCCCTAACCGGGAGCATTAACATCTCCTGGGAACTTGTTAGAAATGCAAAGCCTCAGCAGGAGTTTGAACTGGAATGAACTGGTTTAACCAGGATCCCTCATGTTACTCTTTTACAACAACAGCCACCTTCCTTCCCTCTCCCCTTCCATATCCCAATTTTGTCACTCAAAGAATGTTATACACCTTCTCCTCACTTATCCACTGTCTTGTTATCTAACGTTTCACATTTATAACAACAGTAAAAAATATATTGTCCATTTGTTTTGTGCGTTACTGACGTACGTCTGGCAGTAATGAACAGAAACAAATGCAGAGGTGAGAGTAATGCTGACTTTGATGGTTAAGGTTATGTGTCAGCTTGGCTGGGCTGTGATTCTGTGGTTTGACAGTTATGTAATGATGTAATTTAGCAGCTATATAATGATGTAATTTGGATGTTGTGTAATGATGTAGTCATCCTCCATTTTTTGATCTGATGTGGTCATCCTCCATTTTCACATAAAACCAATTTTGTATAACTGCCTGGTCTTTGGAACCTAACCACGTGGATAAGTGAGGAGAGGGTGTATAAATGGAATCATGCAGTATGTAACCTGGCGGGATTGGCATTTTTCACTCAGCATAATTCCCTTGACATCCATCCAAACTGTGTGTATCAATACTTCATTCCTTTTTATTGCTGAGTACTATCCCTTGGTACGGATGTACCACATTCATTCACTCATTGAAGGACGTTTGGGCTGTTTCCAGTTTGGGACTATTACGAACAGTCTCTATGAACATTTCCTCAGCCTTTATTTTGATGATTACATGTAAAAGCAAATTAGTAAGTCTTCAGGCCTCTGTACCTCAGCCACCTTTGTTCCAGTGTCTGTGCCCACATTTAGGATATCTTTGCTTGTGGAACCCGAAATAAACCTCTGATGAATGACATGCTGTTTTCCCTTTAATGTTTTGTGTATCAAAATACATTAATTTTTCTGTATGGTTAAAATCTTCTGTTCTTGTTATCTGTTTGTCTATATAAGAGTGAAGCTTGGCCATCTTTATTATTTGTTTGGAACTTGTGAGGGTGAAACCTTGGTTTTTGATGAGATGTTTGTCCTTGAGGGATGGGGACCTGTCAGAGCCTCCTTATAGAGAGAGGTTACTTGATAGAGAATGGGGAAGGATGGGATTGGGGATGGCACAGAGGGTAGATGAGGTATATTTGGGGGCTTTGAATCTGAAGCCCTGATCTTACTACTTAAAATACTAAATAAACCTCCCAGATTTTTAACAGTCTCCAAAGCCAAGAAAACTTGAATAGTAAGAGTAGTGTTCCTGTTGTAGGTTTAGAAAGGAACCTGGGGCTCAGAACAAAGCAGACCGAGGAGGGAAGTGACTGTAGACTATGCCAGCCTCACTCAGGAAAAGTAGGATTCTTCCTACCTGCCATCGTCAAGGCATACACGTGTGTGTGTGCATGTGTACACACACACACACACACACACACACACACACACGTCCTGAGGTACTGTTCCACACAGAGACTGGTTCTTAGCATGTTTTCCAAAATCTCATGAGTCTAAAACAGAAAGTACATGAACTCCGTGGAGGAATATGTTTTAAGATGGCCAAAGAACCTGGTTGGTTGCTTGGATGTTTATGACACTTGACTGTTTAGATTTTTGTTGTTTTTATTTCTTTTGAATGAATTGCCATGGTCCTCACCTTCCAAGGAAGGCACGAAGTCCAGGGAACCCCAAGGGCTGAGCAAGCACGTGTGCTGTGTGGTTGGGGGCTGACCTCAGCCACAGTGATGCCGAACCTGACCTGCCCAAAAGCTTGGTCTGTGGCAAGAGAGTAGGCCGCAGGATTATATGGCCTCCCGGGACCTCTGTTGATGGCTAATAGTCGAGGCCCCTGGAAAACGGTTCCATTATCCCTGTTTGCTCTCTTTTGCTTTTTACTTCTTTTTGTCCCATTGGCCTTGAGATGTAGTCTAAAACCTTTAACATGGTCTCAGAGGCCCTGTGTGGTCTAGCCCTTGCCTAGCTCTGCACCGACCCCCACTCTGCAGTCCAGTTACACAGGCTGCCTTCCCGGTCTTTGCGTAGTTTCATGTCCCTGCCTACCTTAGGTCTTTGGTGCTTCCTGTTTTGTTCAGGCTGGAACACCAGCTACCCTCCCTGCCTCTTCCTGCGTTCATCGAATACCTCCTACACACCCCTCAGACCTTGGTTTAAACACCACTTCTTGTGGAAGCCTTTCCTGACCCATGAGCTGAGGTCTCAAGCCCCTTTCTGTGTGCTCACGGATCCCTATACTTTGCGTCACTGCCCTCATCACTGTTTGTGATGATGCACACTGAGTGCCCCCAGGCCCTCGTGAAAACGATACCATCTCTCTTATTCATCAGTGACTCTCCAGCATCTGGTACGGTGTCTGGCATTTAATAGGTGCTCAATAAATGTTTGTTTAATTAGTGAATAAAATCAAGGAAATGGTTACCACCTAAAATATTCTTAACAGGCTTAACATGAGATGTTTTATTTTTAAAATGGAATTAGTACCTAATTTTTAAAAGTCTAGCTATATACAATAAAATTATTGAACTGTCCTAGAGGTCCGTTAACTGTAATTCTTTTTTTTTTTTTTTTCCCTTTCAGGTGGGGACCAGGGTTTACTGAACACATTTTTTAGCAACTGGGCCACAACAGATATCAGAAAACACCTGCCATTTATTTATAACCTAAGCAGCATTTCCATATACTCCTACCTCCCAGCATTCAAAGTGTAAGTGCAACTGATGTAACTGTGGTTGGGATGGTGAGGGTGGGGAACAGGGTACAAGATATGTCAGGTGTCTCATTGTCATCTGAGGAAGACGGGCAAGTTGGACAAGGATTCTCTCTTTTGAAAGAAACATTGCTACAGTGGAGAGAGGCCTTGATGTTATTGTCTTATGCTTGGAGTAACCCAGAGGGCATTTAACTGCCTTATGGGACCAGTGATTAAGCGTTTGGCTGCTAACCAAAAGGTCAGCAGTTCAAATCCACCAGCCACTCCTTGGAAACCCTATGGGGCAGTTCTACTCTGTCCTGTAGGGTCACTATGAGTCAAAATGGACTCAACAGCAACGAGTATGGAACAAGGTTCCCCCCCAGTTCGGGATGTCCTCTGGTAAATCATTTGTAAATTGTGGTCAAGAACACAGGCCTAGGGAACTCAAGGTTGAGTAAGGACAGTGTTGACATGTAGTGGGGTTGTTAACCATTTTAATAGGGCAGCATGTGTACTAAGTGTTTAATGAGAGACTGTTTTGTTCTGTAAACCTTCATCTAAAATGAGAACAGCAGCACAACTGGAAGAACGTAATCGATGTCACTGAAGTGTGCATGTAGAAATTTTTGAAATGGTGTATCTTTGGCTATGTATATTTTCACCAAAAAAAAAAGTCGAGAAGGGAGAGTGTTGACATGTCATGGGGTTGTTAACCAATGTCATAAAACAATATGTGTACTGACTGTTTAATGAGCAACTATTTGTTCTGTAAACCTTCACCTAAAGTGCAATAAAAAAAAATAGGAAAGAACACAGACCGTAGGGTCCAACCAACTAGGACACAAACCAAGCCTCTTCCTCGTAATTGCTGCGTTTCCACGGGCAAAACCACAACACATTGAACTTCAGTTTCTTCACCTAGAAAACAAGTGTTAACAGCTCCCTCCTTAGTGCTGTGGAGATCAGGCAAGATCCTGTCAGCAGTGTGGTGAGAGGTTATGATTGGGGCCCTGAAGCTGGACTACGTCGGCCAAATCCTGAAGCGGTCACTTACTGAACAGGTGACCTTGAGCGAGTCTGTGAGCTTCTCTCTGCCTCTGTCCTTACGGGGTTGTTATGAGGATTAAAGGGAGCAATCAGGTAAAGTGGTTAGAAGAGGGCCTGGCCTTGTACTTAGCACTGAGTAGATGTTAGATTATTAATCCTTTATATTTTTGAGAGCCAATATAGTATTAAGGTAGAGGGTCATCAAAAAAGAGGAAGACCCTCAACAAGATGGATCAACACAGTGGCTACAACAATGGGCTCCAGCATAACAACGATTGTGAGGATGGCGCCGGACCGGGCAGGGTTTCATTCTGTTGCACACACGGTCGCTATGAGTTAGAACCGACTCAACAGCACCTAAAACAACAACATAGTGTTAAGAGTAGGCTCTGAAGCCAGAAAGACTGGAAGCACATCCTCACTGTGCCATTCACCTGCTAATGACTTAGGGTCTGTGCCTCAGTTCCCCCATATATAACACGAGGAGGGAAGTGGTACTTGGAGGCTTGTTATAGGGATGAAGTGAATTAATGCACATGACATGCTTAGAACAGGGTAGTGCTCACTGCTGTTTGGTGTTGTGGTTGGCCTTAGGCTTGTTCCAGTGCAGCAGTGGACCCCGCCTTGTTGCAGTGTTTATACCCCTGCTGGGACCAGGACCCTGTGCCTCTGACTCATCCATGTTGAACTAAGAAGATGATTCAGGTTTCTGGAACAACAGCCTAGCTGTCAGGTTGATCCGAGACACAGCCATGAGCAGCGAAGCTCTTGTTGAGTTGTCCTTGTCTCCTCCCAGCCACAGTCCCCCCCTAGGCATTGCCGAGTGATTAGAAAACAAAAGCTCTTTGACTCCTTGTGTTTCGTTATCCAAGGTCCTGTCCATCACCCCTGTACCTCAGTAATGAGCATGCCTGCTTTTTGTGGCAGAAATGTTTCTTTCTCTGTCCTTCTCTGGGCCGACTCTGTCAACATTCTCTAGATAAGGATCATAAACACTTTGTGTTCTTGCCTCTCTAACTGACCAACATATTAGAGCAAACTCTCAAACTTACGAACTGTGGTCCAAGGAGAGCAAACATAACAAGGTTTACTATCAAGAGACGGAGTAAGGGAAGCTTATATTCACCTCTCAGTCCCTGGCCTTGTGAAGTTCAGCCTCGCTTGGAAATGTGGACCTGCTTCATTTTAACCCTTTTTGCCCAGGTAGAACAGTGTACCTGCAAACCACAGTAGCTTACCCCTAGAACTGAATTTGTCTAACATAGGGAAGTTGCCGTCAAGTCGATTCCAACTCAGCAACCATATAGGACAGAGTAGAACTGCCCCATATGGTTTCCAAGGAGCGGCTGGTGGATTTGAACTGCCAACCTTTTGGTTAGCAGCTGAGCTCTTACTCACTTAACCACCAGGGCTCTGGTTTGCATAATATTGTACCTTTAATTGGCTAAATTCAACTTAACAAACAAAAAGATGAGAGAGGGATGGAGAAATACTTTTTAGTGGTGTGAACAGTTCTACCCACCATTCCACTCGATTCTGCACAGTGAGCCTGTGTCCTGGGGTGAGCGTGCTGGAGCCCTGTCCTGGGGTCAGTGTGCTGGGGAGATGTGAATCTGACAGCCCCCTAGTTGACCTCAGTTCCCAAACAGGATGAACCTGGTGTTCAAAGAGTCATGTTTTTATACAGTGTCGCTCGCGGTGCCTGGCAACTATTTCACCTGTGATTCAGTCTGACTTATCTAATTTTCAGCTTACTTGCTGTCTTAGTTATCTAGTGCTGCTGTAACAGAAGCATCATAAGTGGGTGGCTTTAACAAACAGAAATTTATTCTCTCACAGTCTAGGAGGCTGCAAGTCTGAATTCAGGGCACCAGCTCCAGGGGAAGGCTTTCTCTCTCTGTTGGTTCTGGTGGAAGGTCCCTGTCATCAATCTTCCCCTGTTGTAGGAGTTTCTCACCACAGGGACCCCAGGTCCAAAGGATGTGCTCCATTCCTGGTGCTTCCTGGCTTCTCTCTTCTTTTATCTCTTGCAAGATAAAAGGTGATGCAGGGCACACCCCAGGGAAACTCCCCTTACATCTGATCAGGGTTGTGACCTGAGGAAGGGTGTTGCATTCTACCCTAATCCTCTTGAACATAACCTAATCTTGCCTCATTAACCACACACAGAGATTAGAATTTACAACACATAGGACAGTTACATCAGATCGCAAAATGGAGGATGTCATGGATTGAATTGTGTCCTCCAAAAATATATGTATCAGTTTGGCTAGGCCATGATTCCCAGTATTGTGATTGTCTGCCATGTTGTCGTCTGATGTGATTTTCCTATGTGTTGTAAATCCTCTTCTATGATGTTAATGAGGTGGGACTAGTGGCAGTTATGTTAATGAGGCAGGCCTCAATCTACCAGATTAGACTGTGTCTTAAACAAATTTCTTTTGAGATGTAAAAGAGACATGGGGACCTCGTACCACCAAGAATGGAGCCAAGAGAATAGCTTGTCCTTTGGACCTGAGGTCCCTGCACTGAGAAGCTCCTCAACTGGGAAAGATTGATGACAAGGACCTTCCTCCAGAACTGACAGAGAAAACCTTCGCCTGGAGATGGCACCCTGAATTCAGACTTCTAGTCTCCTAGACTGAGAGAGAATAAATTTCTCTTTGTTAAAGCCATCCACTTGTGGTATTTCTGTTACAGCAGCACCAGATAACTAGGACAACCACGCAATACTTGGAGTCATGGCCTAGCCAAGTTGACGTACATTTTAGGGCGACACAATTCAATCCGTAACACTTGCCAACATTCAACACCAACTCCTGAGTAAAAGGGGGCTCCTGTACCTATCAGGGAAAGCCGTTTCTGCGCAGACACTGCTCGCATGATTTTAGCTTAATGCAGACAAGTAAGAAGCAGGTAGAGCAGAGTTAGGTTTTTGTTTTTGTTTTGTTTTGTTTTAATGAAATTAGTCTTATTTGCTGAAAATTTGTTTTTATATCCTCCAAATGAATTTCTCAGAAAAATAATTTGAGATCTAAGTTAGTAAAAGTGTTAGGATGGTTTCTTCCTGGCTTCATGCACACGTGCTAATTTTGGGAATCTCCTTGGTTCACTGCCATAACTATAGAGTGTATGATGCTCTGAGGAAGTCGGGCGCAGCTCCATCCATTAACCAGACACCATCTGACCTGTGGGCCAGCAGGGGTTAACACGGCTCCACGCAGCCCATCCTTGCAGGTGTCAGCTCTGCATTGCTGCGGTAAGACTGCTCAAACCTATGCCTTGTCGCACCCCATTGCCTGCCAATTAGGAATGCCGAAGCCTCATCAGAGAATCCCTTTTCCCGTCTCTCTGCCAGAAAATGATTTTGTTTTTCTTGCAGAGATCCAGCTCCAGAGACACTTTCCCTTACATGTCGGATTGGGGGAGGGCTGAAAAGGCAGGTAGTTTACATTTCATCTTTGCTTTCTGTCAATGGAAAATTATGGTCCCAACCTTTTGATCTGAAGTAGCCTCTCATGAACATCTGAGCCTCCACAGCTACTCCTCAGAGAGTCCTGTAGAAGAGCGCCTCTGGGGTCTCAGCATGAACTGGAAGCCCCGCTCTTGGGCTCACAGTAACATTGGTGTCTCCAGGGCTGAGTGGCTCTGTGGTGTTCTGGCCTTCCTAGGGCAGCATGGGTGGTGGCAGGTGGAGTGGGAGATTATGGAGTGGCTTTTTTGGCTTGTTTTGTTTTATTTTAGTGATATTCACACAACAAAGCATACAACATTTCATCAATCTCCACACGTCCACTTCACTGACATTGATTATATTCTTCATGCTGTGCACCATTCTCGCTTTTTCCCAATTATTTCATCACCATTAGCATACATTCGTGCCCTCTCAGCAAAAACCTCCTCGTCTCCCCCGCTCCTGCCCCTGGTAACCACCAGTTACTTTTGGTTTCTGTATGTTTCCTTAT